GAGCCAAAGATGTTAGAATTGTGTCGATGTCCCAATATTTCTGGACCTGACTGTACATGTCTAGGCCTCTTGCATACAACAATGAATCCAGGATTGATCTCAGTTTTTGACTATCAAGGAAAATTTAATTATTGATCAGTTTGTGTCTTATCCCGGTTGAAAAAGTAACAAAACAAGAACAACATGAGTAACGAATAAGCAGAATATAAAGCAAATATAGACTGAGCAAAAGTAGTTGGATTTTGAAACTAGGCCACGGTCTACATATGGCCAGTTTCCACATATATATTCTTTAAAAGAGCTTCTCTAAATTCATAAAAAATAAAATGATCCAGAGCCATATAACTGATTGGAACTTCTTTGTTTTAAGGCAATACGTCTACATGTTTGAACAAGCAGTATGGTGGGGAGGCATCTGTGGTCTTCCAGGAGCATTTGGCTAGGCATTGTGGGAAGCAGGAGGAACCACCATCTTCCAAAAAAACTGCATCCCTCCTAATGATGTTACCTTCTCCTCCTTTTCTGTGAAGGATCTCCAGTTCCAAAGCCTGGTCTTGTCTCTCTCCTAGAACAAGGGGAGGACCCGTGTGTTCCAGATTCTCAGATCTTTGATGGAAAAAAGATGTTTGATGCCAGCTCAGGTGAGACATTGGGTCTTGCAAATCCTTTACTATCTGGTATTTTTAGCTGCTTTTAAATGAACCTCTTCTAGAGTGATCTACCAGTGTTTACTCAAATAGCGGTATATCATTAAAACAATTTGGCTTTGCCAAATTATAACGAGTAACGGAGGGGAGAGGGGGCTTGAAAGTTACAGCAAAGTGTGACTAGAAAGAGTCCTTGGGTGATTTTCCCTTCATGCAGTCTCATGCCTCTCACACTGAGGTTGATTGATAGGAGGGGCTACTCTGATGACCTCTTTAGGTCATCATTAGAAAGACAGTATGAGTTAGAAGATTATGGCAGAGACCTCTAAAGACTTTCCCTCTTCCAAAAATAGGGAGGACGAGATCACATGATAAATCCTCATGTGTGCATTAAAAAGAAGTGGGTGACTGAGAAAGTATTTCAGTGGTTCAGGCCGTTAATGTTCAGTTCAGCTTCCATTGCTCTGTTGGAATATTTTGGGAGGTTCATTCTCAAACGATTTCTGTTGTTGTTTATCTTTCCCTGGTTCCTGAAGACAACCCTTGGAAAAAGCACTTGTGCACCGTCTGTGGGAAGCGTTTTACTCAGAAACCAAACCTGACCAGACATCTGAGAATCCACACGGGGGAGAAACCATATAAATGTTTGGAATGTGGCAAATGCTTTGGTTGCCATTCACACCTCATGAGCCACCAGATTGTGCACACGGGAGAGAAACCCTACAAATGCTTGGTGTGTGATAAATACTTTGGCCGCAAAGCGCATCTCGCCAGACACCAAGGAATCTACGCTGGGGAAACGCCCTACAAGTGTTTGGAATGTGGGAAGCATTTTGCCTGCCAGTCGCAACTTGTGATCCACCGGAGATACCACACAGGAGAGAAGCCTTATAAATGCTTGGAGTGTGAGAAATGTTTTGCTGACCCCTCAGCCCTGGTGAGCCATAAGAGAATCCATGCGGTTGAGAGATCTCACAAGTGCTTGGAGTGTGGAAAGAGCTTTGTCCAGCAGTCGCATCTTCTGAAACATCAGAGGGTCCACACAGGAGAAAAACCATATCAGTGTCCAGAATGTGGGAAATGTTTTGCCGATCGCTCTGTCTTCGCAAAGCACCAAAGAGTCCACACAGGAGAGAGACCTTATAAATGTTTGGAGTGTGGAAAAACATTTGCACGGCAAGAGCATCTCGGGAGCCACCGAAGAGTTCACACAGGGGAGAAGCCATATAAATGCTTGGTGTGTGGGAAATCTTTTGCCCGACAGTCCCACGTGGTGAGCCACCAAAGAGTCCACACAGGGGAGAAACCTTGTAAGTGCTTGGAGTGTGGGAAGTGTTTTTCAGAGCGCTCCACTTTTGTAAGGCACCAGAGGACTCACACGGGAGAGAAGCCTTACCGATGCTTAGATTGCGGGAAGTGCTTCGGTTCCCCTTCGCATCTCACGAGGCACCATCGGCGCCACACGGGGGAGAAGCCCCACCGATGCCTGGAGTGTGGGAAAGCCTTTGCCGACCGCTCAGCCTTTGTGAAGCACCAGCGTGTCCACACGGGGGAGAAACCCTATAAATGTGCAGAGTGTGGGAGATCCTTTGCTAACCGGACACACCTTGTAACCCATCAGCGTGTCCACACAGGGGAGAAACCATATGCCTGCTTGGAGTGTGGCAAAAAATTTAGTGCAAATAGAAGCCTTATTCACCACCAAAGGCAACATATAGGTGAGCTCTGCTTTTTTGTTGGTTCTCATAGACATACGTGCTTATTCAGCATTAAAGAATATCTAGATTAGGCGTTTCTAATTATTTTATATATTTATTCCTTTTATATTCTGCCTTTCTTCCATTTCTGGAAGGGGTAGCCACATCTCTGTTACAGCAAAGCAGCGTTGCTGATCTGAAAAGCAGGGTGTGGCACCCTGATGCCCTCCAGATATTTTGGATTATGGTTGCCACACTCTTGTGTTGGTCAGGGTGGTAGACATGGCTGGAATTTTATTTGTATAATTATTGTTATTAGATTGGGTTATATTACACTGCGCTTTTGCCTGGGAGCTCAGGCCCTTACTCTTCCTTCCTCAGCAGCTTTCTTGGAAGCCAGTCAAAGTAGAATGGAGATAGGTTGTACCTAAATCCGTCCTCCAGTTTTCTGTGTTTCTGTACTGCCCATGGAGTTCCTCCCTCCTTTTACTGATTGATGAACATGGAATTCCTCACTTTGGCTCTTACGTGAGCTGCCAGAATACCTCAGTACATTAATAGTTTCATGTCCTGACTTTTGCAGCAGAGTCACACAGCATCTGTGGCTGAGAATTCTGAAAATTGATTTCTACACACACCTCAAATGTTGGCATGAAACTTAGTTTTTCTTTGTCAGAGAATAGTGGGATAGGAAAAAGCGGCTGGTGTGGTATGGCAGTAAAGTGACAGATCAAGACAGAGGAGAATTGAGTCACAGCTGGTCCCCAGGTTTGTTGGGTGACTCTGGACCCATGACTCTCTCTAAGCCAAATCATTCTTCAGGCTTATTGTGAGCTTAAAATGGGTAGGTAGTAAAAGCGTAGGAAGGAATCTTGTCCTGTTCAGTGTGACCCAGACTCTTTTAGAGAACAGGCAGGACAAGATGGCTGCAGGCCCTCCAGAGGGGTGTTTGGGTTTCTTTGTAGATAAAATAGTCTCTAGTCTTTTGCTTCCAGGTGGGCAAAGCCCAGTGGGATGAGCACAATAACATATTCTGTTATGATCTGGGATTCTTTTGAGCTTGTGGACTCAGAGAAAATACATAGGATTCTTTACATCTTGAGCTATGCTGTTGGTGAGCTACATGTTAGCCCTTCCTGGCACCTTCAGTTGACCAGGAAGGTTTATATGTCTGGATTCAAGAGCTGATAAATGCTTCTCTAAGGGTGTGTGTCATGTTGCCACCCTTGAAAGGGGCAGTGTGCATCCTCTCTTGAAGAAGCCAGCCCTTGATGCAGCTGTTTTTGACAACCGTCTCCTTGTCTCCAATCTTCCCTTTTTGTGAAAGGTTATTGAGATGTTGGGGGTTTAGCTGCAGCAGATCTTAGAAGTAAAGGATTACCTGGGTCCCTTTTAATCAGAATTCAGGTATGGACATGGGCCAGAACAGGTATTGGTCCCTCTGATGGATAACTTTCCTTGAGACCTTGATGCAGGAAGTATGCCCCTCCTTGTTCTATTTGAACTCTTGGTGCCATTCAGTACCATCAGTCATGGTGTCCTTCTACATTATATGCAAGGGGTGTTGTATTATTGTGGTTCCACTCCTCTCTGAGGAAGTAGTTCCAGTTGGGAGTCATAGAGGATGAGCAATTAAGCTCTTGGTTGTTCCACTGTGGGATTCCTCAAGGTTCATTCCTCTCTGCTGTGTTGTTTAACATCTGTATACAACTGCTCAGAGAGATCTGGTTTGGGTGAGGTGTCATCAATATGTTGATGACATGCAGTTGTACATCTTTCTGCTAAGTTGAGCCAGAAATGCTACCTGACACCAGAACTGGTGTCTGGAGGCTGTTAGGGTCCAAATGGGGAGAAGTAAATATAGATTAAGGCCAGTAAGATGAAGTTGCTGTTTTCCATAAACATCTGGGCTATCCAGCAAGAGTAGCTATAGTAGTTATTCTGCACTCCTCCTGAAAAAGTTGGCTTGTGAGCTGGGGGTTTTGCTGGGCTTGCGACTCCTGCTTGGAAGCATGCTGGCTGGGGAATGCTGGGAGTTTATTTATTTATTTAAATTTATTAAATAAATATTGAAGGCCACACATCTTGAAATTGCTGAGGTTGAGAAACACTGTTTGATGACATACTGGATATAAATTCTGGAAATTAAAGTCCCACACTTGTAGAAGCCACCAAGTTGGAGAAAACTTTTGGACTTTTTGGGAGAAGGCAATAACATTTATTTTTCTGTTCACTAAAAAAAAAGGAAGAAGAAAACCCTCATATTCTTCAGTATTCTTGTTTTGGTTTGGCCAGTTTGCATTTCTCGACAGATCAGCAATGTACTCTCTGAGCTGATGATTAGAATAAACAGTGCGAGATACCAGGGCTGTGGAATCAGAGTCATAGTCGGAAGCAATTCTTGGGTTACTGGAGTTGGACAAAATGTACTGACTCCTGACTCCTAATAAATTTAAATTGTATCTAATATAAATAATATATTACAATTTCCTTTTTCGTAGATAATAATTTGATTAACCTATTTTTTTCAGGATATATTTCGATTTTAATGCCTTGTATGTTGTGTTTTTGCAATTAATATAGGAAATATATAATTAGTATATTTATAACTTATTTCCTATATCGATATATAATTAAAGGAGTCGGAGGTACCATGAATAAAGGAGTCGGAGTCGAAGGTTTTATGTGCTGACTCCACAGGCCTGCGAGATACATTACAAGAATATTTATACATGGGGCAGACTTCTGCGAACTCCATTCTCTTTCAGCTTTTGTTTCTTTTTCCTAGAGATCATTAATATTCCCCCCTTCCCTTTGACAAAGATCTCAATCACTGTTTCTGAATTTGTTTCTTATCACAGTGTACCCTCTGGCCCAGTGTGTGGAAAACATTTTGTTGACAAATCAAGCTTTGTGCGAAGAGGGAGAAACTGCACAGGAAAACAAACTCTACGAATGGCTTGCATCTGGGAAATGGCTCACAGTCCAAGAATCCTTGGCACAGAACGAAGGGGTCCATGTTGAAAGAGAAAGTTTGGTGATGCCTTGAAAGGGGCCGTTCACTTGAAAACAAACAAACAAAAACATTGGCTACAAGAATTGGGTAGCCACAACGGCAGGTTGTAGCAATACTGAGGTCCAAAAGTGGTCAGAATAAATGGTGCTAAAGCTGAAATCAACTTTCCAGAAATGCTGAAATGTGAATTTCATTCCAAATATCGCTCTTTGGATGCTGAACGTGAAATTTGACCTCGAGATATGAGTGCTTTAAACTTCCTAGACGGTCTCTCAATGGTGGACTTGTATCAGGAGTCAGCTATAAAATGCCCTAAGCAAACAACTTTGAAATAATCAGATGCTGCTTAAAAGTCAGATATGACTGCACGTCAGCTATGAAATATTGCTAGATAGTACCGTTACATGACTCTGCTCAACTACTACATTCCACTCCCTTCCAGTGATCAGATAATAAACTCTGTTGCATGCCAATTATTACATACTACTAATTTTTTTGCATGTAATTTCAGGACCGTTGCATGGCAAACAGCCATAATACCTTTGCACGTTAGCCAGCAAGTATTACCAAATAGTCATGTTAGTGCATGCCATCTGTCAGTCATATTTATATACGGCAGCTATGAAACACTTCCAAGCAACAACTCTGAGATGACATTGGGCTTCAGAAACTGACTTTTCATATTTAATATATGGCCACAAACCTTCCAAATAATGTTATTTGTAAGGACAAATTGCTTCCATCTCTAGATGGTTTTCTGTGATATATTTTTACTCTGTACAGCAGAGATGGGCAACTTTCTCACAGTTTTGTGAGGGAGGACACTTGATACAAAAGCAATGCTTCATGTTAATGAATAAAGCTGGCAGGCAGGACTGGAGGATTTTTTTAAAGGTTTTATCTGTTTTAGATGTTTAAGTTGTGTGTGTTTTCCCATCTTCATTTAAAGGAAAACATGCCACTGGGTTTCAATAACTCTGCTGCTGAATTTCAACATGGTGGTCCATGTTGAGGGCTGCAAGAAACAGATGCAGGGCCCAGATGTAGGGCTGAGCCTTTGGTTGCCAGTGTCTGATGTCCATTGTTGAGATTTCTCATCTCCTCACCCAGCAGGTGCACACACAAGATTTAGGAGACTATACAGTGCTAGTTTGTACCCCCTATTCCTTCCCAAAATGGAAAGCTGGAAAAGTTTCAACAAAAGACAAAGAGAATGCTTGGAGGTTGAAGCAACTTCCCAGCAAGATGAGGTAACAATTTGGGGAGGGGGAGTGTTGGCTTAGACATCTGAGAACAGAATATAATATAATTCAGAGGTCTTCAAAATATATTAAGCTTGATATGTTCTGGATTTAGAACAACTGATTTGAGAATTCCACATTTGGGACAATACACAATCCAAAGCTTTATCCCAAGTCTTGAACAAAATGGGCCAATTCATTCCACTCTTTCTGCCCCAGAGAAGACTGAGAACTCAAAATGAGCCCTTTGTCCCTTGTATTTTGTCCTAAGACCACAAAAGTAGACAGAGTAGTAGTCCTTGCCAACAAGAGGCTTATTTTGAATTTGAGTGTCAGAACCCACTAAATATTTTTCATTTTGTGTGCACCCCCCCCCCCAAATGCATTTAAGTATAGTTTGGAGAAAGTGGATTTTCCCCTCCCTTTCATAATGCTAGAAGCTGAACTCATCCAAAGAAATTGAATTGGGGGAGATTCAACACAGAGAAAAAGAAGGAGTTTCTGTACAGGTTGCATAGGTCAACTGAGAACTCATCACAAGATAATAATGATGGCCACCAAGCTGGGTGTGTTTAAGCAGGATTCAGTGAAACCATAGAGGTGCCTATGGGTTTCAGTCATAAGAAATAATTTGCAGCACTGGTCACACCATTTCATTCCTCACTGTCCAGTTCTCTGTCTTCCCTCATTAGTCCCATCATAGCACGGTCAATGAGCACAGTCTTTAATTGATTGGGGATGTATCATTTTAGGATTACCTTCCCTATAAAATGTTTGTAATTCTGCTCATCTTAGAGTTCCCCATGTTTGCTGATATATTATTGTCCTAATGAGTAGTGCTGTTTGGGGTTCTGTTATATATGCTGTTAGTATATATCAGCCTTCCCCAAAATGACATTGAAGTCCAACCCATCTGAAGGGCATCAGGGTGGGGGAAAGTCTGGTGAATGTGGCAGTAATGATGGCTGAATATGGCCTATATCAGATATTGGTACGATTTTCCTGCGCTGCTTGTAAACTTTCTGAAGGTATCTAGCCAGCAATGGCAAAAAGTAGGATGCTGGATAATGGGACTCTTGATTTTGAGCCTGCAAGATGTTACTGAGGATACAACATCCATTGGATGTTAGTTGGTTAGAAGAGGTTCAAATTAAGGCAACAAAGATGAAAGAGACTTGAGGACCTGTCCTATGAGGACAGGCTAAAGGAACACTATGTTCGGTCTGGAGAAGACTGAGGGAAGATGTGATATCAGTTTTCAGATACAGAAAAGGAAGGTGGTCAGGAACTATTTTCCACTGCCATAGAAACTAGGACCAGAAATAAAAGGTACAAGTTGCAGCTATCTAAATTTATCAGGAAAAACTCCCTGATGGTAAGATTTGTACAACATTGGAACAGTCTACTTATGGTTCTCAATTTCTGGAGGACAGACACCTCTCGAAAGATGGATTGATTTTCCAGCGTGTTGCAGAGGGTTGGAGTAGGTGATTTGTGTGGACCATTCCAACTCCACAGTTCAGTGATTCTAAGCATTTGGATGTTTGTGAGCAGCAGAACAGCAGCTAGAAGAATCCTGACCATGAGAATTTAGAATGAGAAATTATCCGTGCAAACCATCTGAACATCTGAAGCTGCCTTGTATGGAGTTGGACCATTCATCTATCAATGTGATGGAATGGAATTATGAAGGCCAGGCTCAAGGAGATAAACATTTTCTTAGCTCGCCA